AGTTACTTTTGATAGAAGTAACTAGTAATGTAACTAAGTTACTAATTTAAAGTAACTTACCCAACACTGCCTTCCACAGATTTGAAGTCAAGGTTTGCAGGACAATATGGCTGACAATCACGACAAATCACGATTAAAAACCCACTTATTCAATCTTGCCTTTCCCTCTAGTTAATATTTCTTTTATGATTTTATATCACGCACTTTTATGCTCATTTAAATTCTTGTTTGCTCTGTACCTGTTGCTTTCCTATGTATTAGTGACAGTTATCTGCTTGCATATTTAGTACTTGCTTTGGTCCTATTTCTATTATCCTCCTCATATACTCTATTTTACTTGTTAAGCACCTTGGCATACCCTTGGTTTTTAAGTGTGCTTTATAAATAAAGTTTATTATTATTATTATTATGACAAAACTCTACCCAGGCAATCCTGAATAGGCTGCAAACAGTCAATCTCCAGTCTCACAGGGCTTAACATGACTGAACTTCACAGTCAGGCCTGTTTAAGCTGGAGTCAGCAACATCTGCACTGGATCCTGAACATTATGTTCAGCAATGTCTCCTGATTCTGCCTAAGGCATGGCGTGGAGCAAACACAGAGCATGATGTGCTGATTGCTGCACCATGGGTCACAACGTTTGGTGGAATCAGTGTGATGCTGTGAGGCAGCAGCTCCCTTACTAGAAAAGCAAGCCTTGTCATCAGTTTCATCCGTGTCAAGGAACAGAGATATTGACATGAGATATTGAGTCTCGGCCAGAACCCACATACTCAACTGTGTGTGTGTGTGTGTGTGTGTGTGTGTGTGTGTGTGTGTGTGTGTGTGTGTGTGTGTGTGTGTGTGTGTGAGGTTACAGACCTTGCAGGGAGTTCAAGATGCAGAAGAGGTAGAGGGCAGGAGTGGTCAGGGGACCGAATGAAAAAAGGACCAGGCCCCAGGTAATACCGAGCAGAGTCATGACTCCAGCCAGGGAGCAAATGTCTTTCTTGAATTTGTCAAGGTTATTCTGCCCAAACTGATTTGCCAAATATAGAATAGAAGCAGGTTACAGACAGTTTTAAATTTGACTTGAGACCTTAAATTGTCATTTAAAAAAACAACAAACACTTCATTGCTAGTTTATAGTTTCCAATGAATACACTGATGGATTACTACTTATATATTATTTTTAAGACTAGATAATTACCCCTCTGGTGTGGTGGAGAATAAAAACTTGTCTGACTGTCACCCCAAACATGATTACATTAAAGAGGAACACCAAGCTGAACAATCCCACTGTAGTCCACTTTACCTTGTCATTGGTTATATAACATCTAAAAAGAAAGAACAGATCATGTTTTAACCTCCAAAATTGAAAAATCAATGATGCGTTCTGTAAAAGAAACATTAATGCAGGTAGTGCAGTAAAAGCATCACCAGAGCTAAAAAGGAAATAATGTTTCAATTTTAGCAAATTAGATGCTTGGTGAAAAGGAGCTTTCTGCTTCTCCAACATGCATGTTTACAGAAACTCTGATTGGCAAAACAGTTAATAAGTAAATGTGAAAATGTGAATCATTATTCTTGATTTTACATGCTGGCAAATCTTACATTGCAGTACTGGAGGAGTTAGATGCGTCCACAGGGGTAAGGCCATAAAACGTTCTGTCTATGATCACCACCACTGACACAATCATGGCAGGGACACCTTGATCAAAATTAATTAATTAATATCTACATCCGCATTGATAATGACAGCTCCCTCCCTAATTGATTCCACTCACCCCATCCGACCACGCCGAGTTTGAGCAGGTATTTCTTGACATAGATGTTGAAGACTTTGACTAAGAGAAGATATAAGTGGAAACCTTCCAAGGCCATCCAGCTGAAAGTGGCTAGCAGAGAATAATGAAGTAAAAGAGCCATGTATAAGCAAAGTCCAGAGGAAGACCCTGCTGCCCCTGCCTGACTGGGCAGGAAGTGCAGGTTGAGGAGCATCAGGGCAATTACAAGGTTGATGTGGACCTTCATAGAGACATCTTGTCTGAGTTTTCTGTCACACAGAGAATTGATCTGTGTTAAGTAACATACTGTATCATAACTGGAGGAATGGTAGACCATAACAAGAGAAGAAAGAAATGATGAAGAGTTATTTATAGAGTAAGAATAGCATTTGCTGTAAGAAGATCAGTGAATGCCAGTGAATGGAGGAAGATTTCAGTATGTTTTAAGGCAACTGAAAGATAAAAACAGGCTACTCATATGTCAAAGGTATGAGGATGTTTGAGAAAAGGGGACAACAGCAGAGGCAAATCAGATTACAGGAGGTACTAAAAGTGTGAAAGAGGAAGGACTGATGAAGATGGGAAGAATATGAAAAAATGAATTTATTACCTGTTTGTAATAAAGAGCAAAATGGCTATGACCAAAGTAAAAAGGGAAATACTACAGCCAATCACAGTAATGTGTGTTAAAATCTCTTGGTCTTTCTTTGTGATGGAGGGATCAGGTATCTGTGGAGAAAACACATGTTTATATCATCTTGTACTATTTGTATTATAACAATTAGTCAGAAGCCTTTTCACCTTCTGCTTGATGACAGGTCAACAGACCAACAGGTACAACATGTTGGAAGCAAATACTTGTCTTACTTATTATTTTTTTACACTGCAAACATAACTTTATTTAACCTGCTAAGTTATTAAGTATGCTTTCTTATTTCTGATGGTACAAGTCCCTTGAAGAAAATGGGGGCAAGGCTAAAAAGAAAGTTAAAAGAACAGCTGAATACATCTGAAAAATAAAATAAAGCATTAACTAAACATGCTTTATACAATCATAACAAGCATAACATAACAACAGACAATAACATGCAATGAAATACACAGAATTAAGGTAGGCAAAGTGTAGGTAATCAAGCACGAGCAACCAATACAACATAGCTGCAAGGAAAGGCATACAATAACCGACAGCACTGTTACAGTTTGGCACTGTTTTCAAGGATGGCAGGATAGTAATTTGAATGAAAACAAATTGAGCAGAGCAGGTGAAGGTAGAATTCTGTACAAGAAATCTTTTTATTTTGGTGTCTTCTAGTGGCACCATCAAGAATGACACCAAACTGAAAAGAAGGAAAAGAAGAAAATGCACAACAAATGTATCTACAATTATAACAAATTATATTTGTTATTTTATTTGTATGCATAATTTTGACACTCAGTGAATGTGTAGGTTAAACGGTGTATTTATTATATAGAAGAGCCGTAACATGGCAAAAATGTTGTTTTTCCTTTTCATGCAGAGAGCAAAGTGAACCGTCCTTGTTTGCGCGCACAAACTTGGCCAAATAAATGATTCTAAATGATAAATGATTCTGATTGTGCAGCACAATTATAACAACATATTTTCATTACCACATGAACTACATAGATATTCACTACTCCCTCCAGAAAAATTTAAAATACATTAAACTGCAGATTACTGAGGAATCAAATGTGATTTTATGAAAGGAGAAAGATTCAAAAGGCTGTATACCAAACCCACATGCATGTGCCATCGGAGCGCGTCAAACACTTAAAAAACAAAATAAAAAAACAAAAACACTATGGAAGCAGAATTTATTGGATCATATGACTAATGAAATAAGTAAAGAAAAGTTCTGGCTGGATAAAAACAAATTATCATTAAATTTGAATAAAACTAAAATTATGTTATTTGGAAATAGTACTGGTGTTGATATTGAAAGAGACAGTGAAAATTGATTACTGGGGAAAATAATGGATGAAAAACTTAAAAAACATTACATTCCCTTTGTACTCTTCAAAAAAAGTAGTTCGAATCATCCACAATGCAGCTTATGGGGATCATACAAACTCACTATTTTTGCAATAATATTCAGAGTATGTTTTTTGGGAAAGAAGTTATAATTTAAGGGGTTTTTGTAACTTCAATATAGGGAAGGTATGTACTGCAAGAAAAAGCTTTTTGTTTCTGTGCATGGAGTGAAACTGTAGAACAGTTTGAATATGGAATTAAAGCAATGACCAAAGATAAAACAGTTCAAAAAGAGTTATAAAGAAATGATCTTCTTGAACTATAAAGAAAGGGAAAATGTTAAAATTAAGTGAATGTCTCTATTTAGATGTTTTTTTTAGAAAAGAAATTTGAAAGAGATTTGTTAACATATAAAATATGCTTTTTCTTTTTTCCTTCTTTAGTTGTACTAATTCAATGAATGCAAAGTAACCTGTGTATTAGTTACTATAACTATTACTTCTAAAGACCTCACATGCAAGCAGTCAGTTGCTCTGTGTCTGCACGTGTGTGTGTGTGTGTGTGTGTGTGTGTGTGTGTGTGTGTGTGTGTGTGTGTGTGTGTAGGTGTGTGTGTGTGTGTGTGGTAGCGTGCATGGCTACCAAATGTAGCTGTGCAACTTTGTGGTTTGTGGTCTCAACCTTTCATCACCATTTCTAATTTCTAAATGGTGATGAAAGGTTAAAGGATACTGAAGATCTAAATAAGATATTGTAAAATGTTATCTTTCTGAGAAGCTGTGTGACTTTTAAACCCATTAGTATGACTAAACTTTGCAGTGTATTTTTAGCTTGCGGTCTCTTTCCTAACACCACTTGAAAAGCCTGTTTGAAGGCAGAATTAAGGTAAAGTGAGTAATGGTCTGGCATGTCCTTGTGAAGCTGCAAAGTTTGAGGCAATTCAGATAAGTGTTTGCTGATAGAAGTGAAGAACAATGGACAAACAATGGCCTCTTTAAATAATAAATGAGCCCAGTCTTACTATGAGGATACCAAAGTATGTGAGGTGGTTGCAGGAACAGGTGATGTTATTCTGACGATGTGTCCAGTGTGTGACGCAGCCATCCTCTCTAAAAGCTGGTAAGCAAACGACACAGATCCATTACGCAAAAGATCACATTTCTGAACATCAGCTCAGTTAAGTGGCCATGAGTGAAAACACAAACCACAATGAGTCTAACTTATGAAAATATTGTTGTGCTATACTGCTCAAAAAAGATTAAAGGAACACTTTGGAAACATTAGATTTTCAGGGGGGAATAAATCGTGATGGATATCTATAATCAAGTGGAATGGGTAATGTGTCCCATAAGATTAACTGACTTGTTGCTGTACTCTGATTAAAAGGTGTTCCGTTATTTAATGTTTGAGCAGTGTACATTACTGTTCATGACAGATCTGATACTTACTGTATGTTGAATAATTAAAGAATTGACACGAGGGTTTTTGAGTTTCCTATGACACAAACATATTTCATGTTTGTACAAAATGTACAGAATATTATATGTGTCAACTAATTGTGCAATTAAATTACAGGAGGTAAGACTGAAATAAATGTTCAAAAAAGCATAGTTACGTCAATTTTCTTGGTAAACTCCATCGTGATGTTGATGCGCTCCTGCAGTCCTGATATCTTCTTGCCCTGCACACTCAGACCAACCAGTCTTTGATCATATACTTCATGTGGGCTTTCAAAAACGCTCTACAATAAAATGCAAATTTGTCAGCTGGTTTAACAATTTTGCAAAGACAATTTTAATATTATTTTCTGAATCTTCTGTGTTAAATGGAAAAACACTACTAAGTGATCTACTTACACTGTTTGATATGCAACTCATTTACATTTTGTTAGAAAAAAAGGTGATGATTCTTTCCTGATGTACTCAACTTCCTTCAAAAATATGTGTACTAATTTTACATTTCATGTGTTAATAAAATAATGTCACTATGCTCAAGAGTACAAATTCCCCGCTGGACAAATAATTCAAGCATCCAGCAAATTCAGAAGCTTCAAATTCAGGGTTTAATTTTATTGGCTGTTAGGTGTAGCTGGTGAAAGTAAGCTTGATAGGCTTGTTAAGCTGGGATTTTAAAATCTGATTGGTTTTTTTTGTATGCCATGTGTATACACCCCTCCTTTGTTAAGGACATGTAAATTTGATTAAAACAACTTTATAATGATGTGAAAATAAACAGGAGTACATTTCCTAACAAGTGGTAAACAAAAGAAATATATAACCTGACAAAGAAAAAGAAAAAAATCCTAATGTTATTTTATTAGACTGAAACAAGCAAAACCCACAAGCTCCATGAGCAGTAGTTTAAATTTAATGTGTAAATACAAAGATCGTATTATTCTATAGCTCACCACATCCTTTTTCTACATGTTTTTAAATAAGAAGTGTAGTTTATGACCTTATTTGTTTCAGGCCATTTAAACATGCAGAACACAAACGTGTTATTCGGTCCAGCACCCAGTTCTCTTGGCAGCTGGACAATGACTTTACTGTTGAGAAGAGGCACATCTGGTGTTACCTGTATCAGCATCAACATGCCAAGAATAGAAAAAGATTTAGTTTAGATTACGTTCACTAAAATTACCTCGAACAGAACAACATTAGATTGAATACAGTGGATCAGATCTTAAATAAGCCGGTCGTTATCAATACCTGACTCACGCTCAACATTGGATCTAAATATCAGCTCTGTACATCACTACTTGGAAGGTATTTCTGACTACATGTGGAGTCCGACTACAAGCTACTGTTCAATAAGATTGTGTGAATATTTTTAATTTTTTTACCTTTGTGTCATTGGCATAAATTTCAAGGCCTCCGAAGGGACCACTGGGTTTGTGCAGAAGAGCGACAAAAGTCTTTACATACAATTGCATGCTCCCATTCACCTCTGTTCTCTCTAGAACCTTCTCTAGAGTCCAAATGGCTCTTGGGGAGTAGAATGCAAAAATATTAATACAATATTAACAATTTACATCCTTTTATTAATGTAGAAAACAGTCAAGTGTTAAATTCCCAACCCCCCCCCCCACACACACACACACACAATGTATTATAAATAATTCAAATGTTTACCTCAAAGTGTCATTGAGGTTTCCCCCGTTCAAAACACTATCTGTGTAATTCATACAACACTCGGCCTGATTACGACCTGTAGACAAAATGTAAGAACACACATTGAACCCTTGTACAGTTTAATTAAAGCACCCCTCATGTCCACAGAATATATGAAGGTTTAATCTCAAAACACCAATTTCACATTTCTTTATGAAGACATTTATTGGGAAATGGAGATGTGAGAGGAAGGCATTAGAGGTTCATTTTTAAATGCTATTTTACCATGTTAGAATAATGACTGTTTAAAACAAGTTGTAATATATAAAACCTGAATTCCAGAAGAGTTGGAATGTTTGTTAAATTTGGTAAAAAAAAATTAAAAAAAAATGAAAAGAAAAGAAAAGAAAACCAAAAGACTTTCAAATGAAATCAAACCCGATGTTTGCTACAGTTCAGCAAAAAATGTCATGATGCAGCAAATGGCTGAAAAAGCAAGAAAGATGAAAAGGTTTCATCTGAGAGAACATTTAGCAAGTAATTCAGTTGACTGATATCAGGTCTTTAATATAATTAGCTATAAAAGAGATGTCTTAGAGAGGCATTCTCTCAGAAGTAAAAATGGGCTGAGGCTCTCTAATCTGTGGAAGAGTGTGTAAAAATATTGTACAATACTTCAAATGTTCCTCAACATCAAATTGCAAAGGGTTTGCAACTCTCATCATCTTCAGTGCATAACATAATCAAAAGATTCAGAGAAACTTAAGATGTCTTTGTGCATAAAGGACGAGGCTGAAAATGTTTATTAATCACTCACTGGCATGATTGTGTCATTGACATTACTTAATGGGCCAAGGAATGTTTCCACACAGCAAAATCTCCAGTGTTAAATTAACACTAGAGAGTGTCTATATGGGTGCACACCTCTGAGTGTTAAATACAACACTGTTGAGTGTTAAATTAAGACTTTTGACAGTGTTATATGTTTAAAAGTAACCTAGTCAGTTTTGAAGATTAACAATGGCTAACACTGAGCAGTGCTGATTTTCTAACACTGGAAAATAACTCAAAATGTTAGAAATAAGACCGAGGTAAACATGCACCTGTAGCAAACATCAATTTTAAAATGAGCTAATTTTGTGCTTAAAATTGTAAAATTTCTCAGTTTAAGCATCTTTTATGTTATTTATGTTCTGTGGTAAATAAAATATTTGCTCATGTGACTTCACATGAGTCTTTCAGTAATAATGTTTTTCAAATTTAAAGGATGACGTAGTGTCTACAGTAGCTGCAGACAGTACACTGAGGATAGGATGTGTTCTTCTAAAGTGTAGTAACGTAATTTAATGTAATTTAAAGGGACGTGACATTTTAGGGCTGTGGTAGAATATAGTGTGTACAGAATTTTTATATAGTATAAAAGAAAGAAACACATGTAGCTAAAATTGACAGAAAACAAGCTGAGTTTACTTTATTCAAACTCATAAAAGGCAAAAAGAAAAAGTGATTAAACCTTGTTTCTTAGGTTAGAATCTAAATTGTCTGGCTGTGCCAGTAATAAAGTCATTCTTTTGTTACAGTAGTTAATATAACAACTTACTTATTGTAGCTGATATATTGCTTGCAGTCTGACAGCAATACTGTTCCGACAGACAATTCTGATAAAGCATGTAATAAGACATAAAAGGCATCAACCACCAGAATATCCAGCTCTTCTTCCTGTAAAGAGACTCTCTCATTTAGAATGGAAAAAAAGGCAATGCTTTTCAGCCAAAGTTCTTTTCTGATTAATATGTCTTAATTTTTTAGATTAGCACAAAATTTATTTTGTTGCTATTATGCTGAAGGTAGATCATCATCACCCTGAAGACTCATCATCAGAACAATGCAAAATATGTTTTCTACATAAAGATTTTGAGTTTTAGAGACTGTACCAAGTTATAAAAAACACAGGTATAGAAATAAAACGAATTCAACTTCTACTCCTCCTATTTCTACTACCAGTAATCCTAAGAAATACATTGAAACAAAATCACAAATTAAAAAAAGTATAAAGTCGAATGACTCTAATAACACTAACAACCCTTGTTATTAGCATCAACACAGAAAGTAAAATGTATTTTAAAGTGAACCAAAGCATACCCTACCTTTCCATGTTGCTGTGGAACTAAGTAAATAGAGGACACAGAGCAAAACAGAAGTGACAGCGGGGGGGGGGG